AACTGATTTGATACTGTGGCCTCTAGCTGATTTGATACTGTGGCCTTTAGCTGATTTGATACTGTGGCAGTTATCTGATTTGATGCTGTGGCAGTTATCTGATTTGATGCTGTGGCAGTTATCTGATTTGATGCTGTGGCAGTTATCTGATTTGATGCTGTGGCAGTTATCTGATTTGATGCTGTGGCAGTTATCTGATTTGATGCTGTGGCAGTTATCTGATTGAACATGTTTGTATCTTTCAGACTAAGATGAAATGGATTGGTAAACCCATTGCAGAAGAAAATAAAAAAAAATACTACAGAAGTGTTAGGATCAACGATGAAGAAGTAAGTTTGTGTCCATATACAGTGTCCTACTTATTGCATTATTGCAGATAGACATTCAGTGTTAAATTAAAAACATTGTACTCTAGATCAACATATTTAATTACCATATATGGTCATGCAACTTCATTAAAATGCTTACATATTATATTTGGAGCACTACTGTAATTTTCAGTTTCTGGTATTTTACATTTGACTCAACAAATATAAGTGAAAATAAACTTTATACAATACAACTAAAATGTCTCTATATACATGCATTTACATGTACATTCAAGCAGTGCTTTATTGAAGACATTGGTACATAATCATGGTTATTTGACCTCGTTAAAATTGCATAACTCTCGCATCGGATACATTTCAGAGACATTCAAGCAGTGCTTTTAATCCTTTGAATGCCAATTTTGTTCACACATAAATTGGGGTAAATTTGTAGTTACCAGTGAATGCAATCGTAATTTTTTAACGAAAAGACAAAATATGGCATTTCTTGTAGTTTCTGACAATTTTGAAATTTATTGCAATATTTCATATGGAAACTATTTTATTGTTGGTGCCAAAAGTTAAATTTCATGTTCAAATGGTTAATAATGCTGGGGATCTGCCCTTTCTGTTGGCTTTCTTGTTAATTTTTAAATTTATTTAGTGTTTTTACGCCCATTTTTGTTAATTTTTTTACAAAAGACATAAATGTAAAATGTACCAGTACTTGCACATCATCTCCCCCTCACTTGTCAAATTCTGCCAAATACAAATACAGGACTTTACATGCAGTTTCAATGCTGTAATATGGTGTTCATTCATTCGTTAGATCAGTATTGGAGATGCAGTATCAGTCAGTCCGCAGGATCCAACCAAGCCTGTGCTATTGGCATTTGTAACTTACATGTGGGAAGATGGAAACAAAGATCAGATGTTTCATGCAAAGTGGTACTGGTGAGTGTCTGCTTCACACTATAATGAGTGCATATGAATAGTCATCTTGTATGTGATGCAGTTCAGTCCAGTAAGTTGTGGCAAATAACAGACAAAAGGCAGAATAGTTGTTTATAAATCAATGCAGGTCAAACAAGGTCAGATCGTATATTGCATTTCAATACAACAGTCTTGCACTATAGAACATTTTACTAATGGTTCAAATAACACTGAAACACAATTTAGCACTACATAAGGATGACATTTCTAATAGCAATTAATTCTATTATCCATGCTTTGGGCGTGTCATGCATGTTATACAACCTACCAACAACAATGAATGCATGTGAAACAATTAGGTTACAATAAATATATATATTAGACACATTTATGAACATGTAAACATGCAACACAGAATTTGAGTCCAGTTACTAGTAACTGACAGATGTGCCTTGCCTTCAAAAATCACAACTTGAAATAGTGTTAACAAATGCAGACTTGGTAACTAGGGGAACATGCACAAACAATATGCACAGAATATATTTCTGCGCCAGTATCAAAAAAAAACATTAAAATCTGTTTGTTTGACCATACCCAGCAATGGGCCATATATGTACATGTGCTAATAGCAGAGTAAATGTATGGTATACATACACGTGTATATGCATTGATAAGCTTACACAAATGGAAAAATTTCATTATTTCACTTTGTAGTTTGTTATCAAGTACATTGTATATTAAATTGATAAAAATTGGAGCAGTACAAGCAAATTTCTAGAAGTCAAGTATGGCTATTGATTGTAGTACATGTATGAGTATCTCTGATTTTGTGTTTTGGGCTACTGTTATACACGATCATCAGTCTGTTCTGTTAGTCCCTGTTTGATCAAAATTCGAAACGGGGACTTGTAATTCATTCTTCATCCAGAGTCGCATTCAGAATCCTTTGGACTTTATATACACATGCAGTGATTTACTGGTTCAATTCAAGATGGCTGACTGGCAGCCATTTTGTTCATTGAAAATTTGGTATCTTATGCATGCATTGTAAATTTTTGTTCAAATTTGGTACATACATTATGCAACTTAGGATACATGTCCAGGGTTTTTTCTATCTAGGAAGCACAGCAATTCAGCGGGGCCACCTATTGGGGGAGATAGGATTCTACTTACCAGGGTGTGGAGTTTTTGATAATTCCAAGTTAAAATGGAGCATTCTATGGCTTCCTTGGAGCCAAAATCACTATAAGACAAGTCACAGTTGAAGACTGTTGCCACATGTAATCCCTGTTCATTCAGAATTTGATGGTTGACAGAGGATCTGCTTCCCAGGGTAAGGGGGCACACATGGGCATGGCATGAGGGGGCTGCACCCCTATTCCCTTTTTTTCAAAAAATCCCTGCATTTCTAGGACGACCTAGGACATAAGATCAAAGATGGCTGACTGGCAACCATCTTGCCTTTCGACCATACTAATGTATCTCCAAGGCTCAGGGACCATTTTTATTCATATTTGGCACATGCACATGTTGAGATGCATGTTGGTGATGATTTGTTTCATGTTCAAATCCCTAAGAGTTGGCACATATAAAATTGTTCCAGTAGCTTCAGTAGAAAAACTTTAAGTTTCCTTTAACTGTGATGGGAAAATGACTAATGTCAACTTTATATGTAAAGCTGCGTTTTTCGCACTGTACAGAATCAGAAAAATCCGGACTGTTTTGTCTTGTGAACATACGGAAAAACTTGTACACACATTTGTAACATCAACTCGACTACTGCAACTCTCTCAGATATGGCAAACCTCAACATCAACTAGACAGAATTCAATCAGTGCAGAATGCTGCAGCTCGTCTCATCAATCGCTCAACAAAATCATACTATATCACACCACTACTCAAAACACTTCACTGGCTTCTTGTTGAGTATCGTATGAAGTAGAAACTATGTCTTATCACTTTTAAGATTATCCAACTTGAAGGCAAATGTCCAGACTATCTTAAATTCATTGTGACATAAGAACCGCCACGTACTCTCAAACATGGCTGGCCGGCATTTTCGATTATTGCCCCAATTTTTAATGATCTTCCTCTGTCATTACTTTCATGGTCATCAACAGCTACTTTTAATGGTCACTTGAAAACACTCTTGTTGTCATTTAACTTACAAAATTCTTTTTTTTTTACCATTTTTATTGTCATTTCACAATTCCATTTTTATTGCTATTTCAACTTTGTAAAGCGCCCTGAGACACTAGTGCGCTATATAAATAGAATAAATAATAAAAATAATAACTGACAGCAGTCTTGTTTTTTTCAAAATGTATCATTGACATGTTTTTGACTCCCATGTGCGAAGCACAAAATGGGAGTCTTTGCAGTTAGTGTGTCTGTATGTGTGTGTGTGTGTGCGTGTGTGTATGTGTGTACGTGTGTCCGACTGTTCCACTGCTATCTCAAGAACCATACATCGGTTTTTGATGAAACTTGGTGCATAGATGCTCTGGGCCAATGCGCAGATTTGATT